ACGATAAATATAGGAAACCTTTATGTCAACGCACTGGCGGACCTCGTTCGCTGAAGCCGTAGCAAGCCTGTCATAAACAGATATCGTTGGACGTGACGCTAGCAATCTCGGAACATGAAAGACAAAATCACCGATACTGAAACTTAAAAAACCCAAGCCTGAAGCCCTATGTTCCACTGGGAACGCAAAGGTATTGAATGAACTAATTCAGGGAGACAATTTATGTCTTCTAATATTCCATTTCATCAAATCAAGGTTGGAAACCCCAGCCTGTGAGGAAAAATAACAACACTGCTGCTACTGAAATTTTAAAACTCACAAACTTTGAAGCTCTAAGTTTCATTTGGAACGCAAAGGAATAAAGTGATAATCGGAATAAGGCTTATTTATAGCCGACCAACGCTACACATGTACCTACTGCCATTCATTTCATAACGTCCAGACCTTATATTTCAGTTATTTCAATAAAAGCCACTCAAGTTTTATTCCCAGTTCAGGGAAAAAGGAAGTTAGTTGTGAACAAGTGTCTAACTGTAACATCTCTTCAGGCTTTCAGCCTCGCTTTTTACTTTGGTCAAACTATGTGTCGAGTCACTGCCTTCCTCGACTAATATATGAAGTTGGAAAAAAGAGACGCTGGCGAAATCTGCGGTGACTCTGCATGTTTGATCATCGCTGTCTCTGCAGGATTGCTTTCGTTCGATGGCTTCAGCGCGTGAGTAATTCTTAGGTTCGGCGGCGTGTGTTTGTACACGGTGGAGATCACCATTCATTTAGTGTCGTCATCTGGAAACGGCTTTCCGGTGGCTTGGACCTGTGGTGCCGATATCATCTCAGAGGCTTTCCCACAAGTTTCTGTTCGCTAGCCCTGGGACGGGATGGTCAGTCCATGACGTGGCGTCGTGGGTTGAAGGATTTTTATGCTAGTTTAGCATCGGTTGGTGTGTCACAACTCCCTGGTTAGGGTCCGCTAGATAGCTCGAAACGCTATTGGATATAGCGAAGAATCGTAATCAATGGCGAATGTGTTGCGGTTTCCTTCTTTCTTCCCTTCCCGATGATAGTTAACGAATACTGTTTGAACTTGTTAAGCATGACTGTTTTTCTTCCAGATGAAACTCTTTATCCGTTCTCTACTTATATTTTTTCTTTTGATCTATGTTGTTGTATTATTATTGTGTGGCGCATCTTTCTTGATGCTATATTGTATCATGTTATTTTCGCATTCAAATAAATAATAATAAATCTTGAGGAAGTTTCCTCGTGAGAGGCAAGTACTCAAGCAAATGAATTAATATTCAAGATTTAGTTTTTGCATGGATTTGATTCGTTACATGTTTTATCATGAGCTGAAATCGGTTAAAAAACCATTGGAAAACCAGCTGAGAATACTGTCAGACAGCTGTTTCGTCCTACTGCTTGTAACTCTTCAGCAGTGCGCATTCACCGCCAGGGTTTAAACCTGAGGCCTTCCGGTAACAAGACGAGCGAGCTCGCAAACCATTAAGCTACTGAGGCCCAATCCGTTGGTTCATGAATTCCAACCAACACTTGAATGTCAATCTGACGATCACGAGCGACTGGTTTTATTCAAGTAGACAGTAGTTGCTTGGGTGTGTTCTAGTGGTTAGTCGCGGCCAATGGTGTAGAGCAGGTCGGGAATGAGGCATATCATCATAGATATGCTGATGGAAGTATCCTTAACTGAACGTAACGACTTAGGAATCGACTTGTTATCAGGGTATAGTCTTATGGACTTAGAATATGCAGATGACATAGCCCTGTTACGGGAGGATGCTGACAAAATGCAGTGTCTTCTGAACACCTTGAGCTGCAATCTTCGTATGTTTGGCATGCGATTCGCCCCTACAAAATGTAAGATGCTGCTACAGGACTGGACTACGTCAACTCCTAGCTAAGTGATAAGGAGTGAAGTGATAGAACATGTTGACCACTTCACCTATTTGGGAAGTTGTATCAGCACCAACGGACTGATTGGGGGCGAAATCTCAACACGGATTCCTAGAGCTCGAGCTGCTTTCGCTGACTTACACCATCTCTGGCGTAGGCGTGACGTGTGTACTGCTCAGCAGTTCACTCCGTCCCTCTCTATGGCTCTGAAACATGGCCAATACAAGTTGAAGACATGAAAAGGTTGACTGCTTTCGATCATAGATGTCTGCGATCTCTGTCTCACGTTAGGTGGTTTAATAAGGCAAGTAATTTTGACCTTAAACGTAGTGTTAGGCAAGGGGGGAAAATCAATCGACGAGGCTATAAAGTTGCATAGATTGAGTTGGCTAGATCACGTGCTGCGCATGCCTACCTAACCATCGCCTCTACTCCTCGATGGGCATTACTAGCTGATATAGGTGCAGGTTGGAAAAGAGCCAGTGGTGGCCGAACAAAAACATGGCATCAATCCATCAAATCCTTGACAGTTAAACTGAGTCAGGTAGGGAGATGCAGACTTCCGGGTTGGGGCCCTCGGGACTCTAGGAACCAATGGCTGGAGACAATAGGTGACATGGCTCAAAATCGTTGTCAACGGCCAGCGCAGATGTATTCAGTCTCTTTGAACTTCCATACTCCTTTCTAACATTTTCCATTCTGTTTCACTCTTATACTTGTGAAACTCTTAATTCTCTCGACTCATCTTCTTGTCTACTTTTGTATGCTATTTGGAACGTGGCAACTCGAACTTCTGCACTTCGGTGTCAAGTTCTATGTTGAATCCAGACAGACAGAGGGAATGAGGACAAATACTTGTCTCGGATGACATTGGTTAGTGTCAGTGGCGATATGTCGTGCTTGAATTGGCAGGAGTTGGAATGCATGGGATTGCTACTGGCCTGGCGGGTCCCAGTGGCTTGATGACTGGTCCACGAGCTCGCTCGCATTATAGCCGGGCGATCGTGGGTTCGAACTCTGGTGGTGAGTGGCTGCCTACTGCTTGAGCAGGGTCGCAAACTAGGCGGACGAAAAGGACTGTCTGTTTTCGACATAGAACTTTGCACAAATGTGCGGAAGTTCAAGTCGCCACACTCCCTCCTTGTAATACACAAAGCAAGAGAAGAAAGTAGGAGAAATGCATAATAGAGGCAGTAAACAGAGATGTGAGACAAAGGAATAGAAGTAACGAGGAACAAAACAGTTTCATTGGAAATCATAAGTCACAAGGAGTGGATGCATCTGCGCCGTTGAGAACGATTTTGAGCCATATCACCAATTGTTTCCAGCCTTCATTGGTTTTTACCGTCCCCAGGACCCCAACCAAGAAGTCTGCACCTTCCTACGTGGCTGACTTAAACTAACTGTTGTAGATTTCATTGACTGGTGCCATGTTTTGGTTTGACCACCACTAGCTCTTTTTCAGCCTGACCCTATGTCAGATAGCATTTCCCGTCGATGAAGGCGATGACTAGGAATGCATGAATAACACATGTCCTAACTATCTCAGTCGATGTAATTTCACAACCTCGTCGGTTGATTTTCCCTCACATACCTAGCACTCGACGCCTAACTTCAATGTTCCTCACCTTATTATGCCACTTTACACGGGAAATAGAGCGCAGGCACCTATAATCAAAGACAGCTAGTCTTTTCATATCTTCCACTCTCAGTGGCCAGGTCTCACAACCATAAGGGAGCACGGAGCGGACTAATGAGCAGTACACCCGCCCTTTGGTCGATAGTCGAACATCTCGTCTACGCCAGAGTCGGCGTAAACTGGCAAATGCGAAACGAGCCCCCTGTATTCGTGCTGAGATTTTGTCAGAGATCAACCCTTTGGCACTGGCTGATGGTACTTCCCAAATAAGTGAAGCAGTCAACGTGCTCTACCACTTCACTTCCTACTTTTAAACTAGGCGTCGATGTAGTGCAGTCCTGTAACATCGTCTTGCATTTGGCGGGAGCGAATCGCATGCCAAACATTCGTAGATTGCGGCTCAAGGTGTTTAGAAGACTCTGCATTTCGTCAGCATCCTCGCCTAGAAGGACTATATCGTCTGCATATTCCAAGTCAACGAGATTATTCCCTGGTAGCAAGTCAATCCGTGAGTCGCTGAAGTCACTTAGGGTTAAGTCCATTAGTACATCTATGATGAAGTTGAATAGAAATGGGGATAATGGGCATCCTTGACGGACACCACTAGTCGTCACCAGTTCAGATGACAGCTCGCCGTAAGCCCTCACCTGGCTGTATGAGTACGAGTAGAGTGCCTTAATCAGTGCAATATATGTCTGGTGATACTCCGTGACGGTTTTCCAACGGCCCTCAACAAAAGTTTTAAGTTTGAAAGCTTGGTCCTAATGAAACTCCGAATCCATTAACCGTGAGAAAACGAGATTTCGTGCCTCTATGGTCATCATGACCAGCGAGAAACCAGTGGTCATCAATTTGTTTGTAGTATATTGCAAACAGTAGGGTGAACAATGATATGCCGTTATATATTATGATTTTGGTTGGTGGATGGTGACTGGCAGTGGAATATAGTATACGCTTTTCGTTTTATTTGGGACCCGTCATCTGTATGTACCTGCATTTCCCAGTGAGTGATGATGTTCCCACCGAGGCTCGAACCCAGTGCCCATAGTTGCAAACGCGAAAGCGTTATCCACTAAACCACATGGGCCATGAGAGCTATCTCTTGTGCAACGGGTCATATTATTTTTAGTTGAATTTTATATTTTCCCTTCGGTTCAATGAATCGATGGGAAAATCTAAAATTCATTTAAAACATATCATGATTGCTAAGTTGTTTTCTGTCATGAAGAAACTACTATAAATGACTATCCTGTTTGAACTAGCAATCAGAAGTACGAAAACCCATTGGAAATATTTTATGCCAAGCAATAATCTCATGGCTCCTAATATTACATTTTACCTTATTTACCTTGTAGCACTTAGTGAAACGCTGCATATATATTAGACTTTGCGACTTCTTTTATGCCCATAAATACTTTGTAAATTTCTTTATGGATCATGTTAAAAACAGGTGCCCCGATCTCAAGAAGAACATGGTAAAGGCTGTTTTTGGAAAATCGATCCAGCTCATGAAATGAAGTTACTAAATATTGCCTATCGCAAACGGCGTATGCGACCTTGTGATACAACCGGATGCTTTACACATCAGTCTTCAAACACCAGATATCCATTATCATCATTATCGAATGGAAAGCTTTACAATTATGTCCTTCCACCATCAACATCCTTCATAGGTCGATTGAACAATAGTTCAGTAATGATGTCAACAGCTGGTGTTTCGCAAAAATCATTTAAAAGATGTCATAAGCTTTCAGATCAATCAGAGCTGCCGTATAAGATCTCTTTATCTTCTTCACCTACTGTAAATACACCTTCAGCAGTTAATCAATACAAAGAAGATAAGTCGAATGTGATCACCTTACAACCAGTGATACAAAATTTTATTCCACTTAATCAAGGTTTGTTGATGTGTACTTATTATTTCGATATTTATCTCTTTTATTTAGGCATAGCAGAATGCTTAGTTAGGATTATTATCGTTCCCTTGGATTCCGAGTGGAATTGAGGTGGAGGTGTGCGGCCACCATTCTAGGCTTTGTTCGACGATGATGAGTAGAGCTGCGATTTGATCCACACATGATTTATCTTTCCTCAGTCCACCTTTTCCGGTTGGAGTTGTGCATCTAGTGCAACTTCTGTCCTCTTTAGGATGACACAACTTAGTATCTTACTTGACGTGGACAAGAGCATTATTCTGCGCGTCTGCGTATACGCTGTAATCTCTATATGCTTCAGTAGGAATTCCATCTGTTCCTACTGCCTTTCCGAACTTCAGTAGCTTGATTGCATTTAAGATTTCTGCTTTTTTGGAGGATTAGTGTCCACTGACACTTGTTCTATGGATGCTGTTGATGATATTGCGATTCGAGAATCGTTTGAAGTGATCAGCCCATTGTTTTCGTTATCTCTCCTCCTTGGTAATTAGGTTCGACTGACCATCTACTGTAGGTTTCACCTGAATTGATATTTTCCCAGATCAAAACCTGGTTATTCTGATATAACCTTCTGAGGTCTCTTTTACCTGCAGCCTTTTCTTCTTCAGTTGCTAGTGCCATAGAATTGTCTTTTGTCTTTCATAGCACTTTTCACTTCTGTTTTCAGCGTGGTGGACATTAAACTCAGCTTTTTCTTCTTCTGTTATGCGTCCTTGCATTGCTTCATCTTCTATCTCACCATCCTCCTCTCTACTATCAGCTCCCAAGTATCCGTTGAGAGTCATTGTTTGTTTTGCCTCTTTTTCTTAAATCAGTTGCACACTTTTCCTGAACATCACCTTCAGAGAGAGGTTCACTCAGGTTTCTTAAGTGATGCCACGTAGTGTCTCCAACTTCGCTCTGATAGCTACAGTGAATGTGTAACGACAGAAGACAAGGGCCAGGCAACAGATCGTTTATTGAGAAAATCAAGAGATATTTATATATTTTATGTACATTATTATTCTTTATTATTAGCAGAGAAACACCGCCTTCTGATAGGTTGTTTTATCACTGAAAGTTATTCTGTCATCTTGTGGCCGTTTGTTTGAAGGTCAGACCATATATCGTATCCGCTCACGCAAAGTCTGCTGTGATTAGTTGTTGAGTTAGTCTTTGTTCTTGTTTTTTTCTCATGATCAAGAGATGGGACGTAAGCATTAACGTAAATTGCTGTCTATCAATTTCGCCTATCAGACAGCTGTCACCACAAATGTCTCCTTTGTAGTTTTGTCGTTCAAACTTTGAATGTTAAGTAGCAAAGGGAAGTCAGTTGTTGAAATAGTGAAGCTAGAGAGATGGCTAGGACAACAAGCGACTGTCTTATTCGACGTGAGGAATATTAACTGACACATGATTAAGTTGGAAAAGAGTTAAGGATCAATCCATGATGAAGCCGTTGACTGTTACTGTGAATCCCCTAAGGAGGTGTGCACTCACTGTCTCTAACGGCGGACATCCCTAAGATACTAAAAAAGCAATGTCTTTGGAAACTGTTGGTTATATGGATTAAAAAAATGGCAGATGTGTTCACCCTTTGTCATCTCGCATACCTACTAAGTCCTCAGGTAACTGTTCTTTCCCCTTGTACATTTAGTTCTTTTGATGAATCTGTTTTTATGTCTCTTTTGTCTACCTTTATATGCTATAAGGAGAGTAGCCCACTGAATTACCGGACTTCTGTGCAAAGTTTCATGTTTAAATTCAGTCATTCAGTTATCTATTTTTATATAATGGATTCTGAGCAAGTGAAAGATAGTTTTACATTGACAGTGTATGGAAGCTACACATACTCGGAAGTAACATGTATAAATATCAACTAACCACTTGCAATTGTACAGATTTGAAGAGAGTTAGTGTATGCAGCTGAAGTACTGCACAATAATTTTATGAATCCTTTGATGATTTTTCCAACACCAAGATTGTTGCCAACAAAAAATATATGTATATATATATATATATATTTATATATATATTATGTATACTTAAAGGGCACGATTTTAGCACATATGAATTTTCGATAAATTCGCATTAGTTCCATTATGGGTAAATTTTGTTTTGATAAAGTCTCACAGCGTTATACAGTAATGTTTACTGATGACGTTTCGAGCACAATTTATTGCTCATAATCATATCAAGGTAATCACACGACTTCCTAAATTCATTTATATAGTTCCATTGTTTTTCTCTTGATTTTCACTTGATTTGATTGGTAATAGTATTTTCCATATTTCAGGTATGAGTGACGAGTGACGAGAGCAGTGGCACTAAGTAGCACAAAAAAAGACCTGAATGATGAAATACAACGGATAGAAGAAGCGTTGGTGTTGAATAACTATCCTATAAAATTCATTAGGAAGATCATTAAAGGCCAAAAACAAAATAAAAATAATTGTGAAACTAGTAATAATAACATAAATAAGAAAGAATATAAGTCATCCACAGTTATACCATATAAAGAGGGGACATCTGAGACACTACGTAGGATTCTGAATAAAATAGAAATTAGGGTGGCATTTAAACCTACAAACTCACTCAGGGACAAGCTCTGTAGGTTAAAGGACCCAGTTGACCCAATTAGACAAAATAATATTATTTACAAAATACCATGCAATGACTGTGAGGTCAACTACATAGGTCAAACTAGTAGGTCAGGAGTAGTCAGATTGTCAGAGCATAAGAATTTAGCTAAGGTAAGAATGGTTGGCCCGAGAAGATAAGTAATTTAGAAAAAAGCTCAGCAATTGCAATGCATGCGCTAACACACAACCACACAATAGGGTGGGAGAGGGTTAAAATGCTAAAAAGTAATCTAGGTAGGTGGAGAGAGAGGTTGATTACTGAATCCTTGTTCATCGAGTCTACACCAAACACAGCAATAGGAATGAGTCATCACTCATACCTGAAATATGGAAAAAACTACTGCCAATCAAATCAAGTGAAAAATAATGGAACTATATAAATGAAGTTAGGATGTCATGTGATTACCTTGATATGATTGTGAGCAATAAATTGTGCTCGAAACGTCATCAGTAAACACTACTGTATAACGCTGTGAGACTTTATCAAAACAAAATTTACCCATAATGGAATTACACTCTACCACAGTGCACAAGTTTTATTCTTATATCAAATTCGCATTAGGTTTTACAATTACATAATAAAATATTAATCATGTGGATAATTTCAAGCTGCCATCCCCGCCTCCCATGCTCCACGTAACACACAAGGCAAGAGAAGAGAGCAAAGAGAGATTCGAAAGAGGGTGGAATGGAGAGAGAATAAGAGAGAGAGAGAGAGAGCTAATAAACAGAAGTGTGAGTGAGGGAAGAAGAATAGTAACATGGTGGAAGAAAAATAGAGTTTTGTTGGATATGACAAATAAATGACAGAGAGTGAAAGCTTGTACGCCATCATTGACAGCGAGGATTTTGAGCCAGACATATCACTGGCCATATCTCCAGCCACCATTGCTTTTTTCCCATCATCCCGAGGACCCCAACCAGCCGGTCAGGCCAGGCGGCAGTTTACAGCTCCTTGCGTGGCTAGCCGGCTGTCTGGATGGCTGTCTTAAACTAACTGTTGTCATGGATTTGATTGACTGATGAAGCCAGTCATGTTTTAGTCTGATCACCACCACCACCACGAGGTGTTGGCTTGCGTTTGTCGACCTGATCACCACGTCAGCTGAGGTGAGATTGTCCGTCGGTGGAGGAAGGCGATGGATGGATGGGTGGGTAGGCGAGAAGGCGTGCATACATGCATGCATGTGAAACACATGTCCTAACCATCTCAGTCACTCAGTCGATGTAACTGCTTCACAACCTCCTCGTTGATTGATGAATCTCCCACCTCCTGCTCCTCTTTCTTGCCTCGCAGCACTCGACCGATGCCAAATCAACTGAATATTACTCACCCTATTTACACTTGCCACCTGACCTGACCAAACATGGGATCTAGACAGAGCGAAGATATCTGTTATGAAAGACAGCTAGTCGGCTAGCGGGCTTTTTCATGTTTTGCACTTTCATTAATGGGTGCCATGCCTCAATCACTCACTCACTCACAGCCAGCCAGTGATAAACGAGTACGGAGCGAACTAACTGACCATTTGAATGATATTACTATTCATTACATCTAATATATAATTCAAGTAATGAATTATGTAACGAATCCCTGATAAAATTGTATTGTATATCATACAACAACAAAGGTGTATCAATAAAAAATATGCGAAAATTATTTCTTTTCCACTTCCAGTGCCTTCTTCAATTTTACGAGTGGTAAGTACAAGACCGTGTATCACCACTTCAGTTGTCAAGTCAAATGAATATAAAGCAGTGGAACATTACAACGCTTTGTCGACTTCTTCTGCTGTCATTATTCAATCTGCTCATTCCCCACAATCTATGCATTCCAGTCCTACATAGCGCTTAAAATAAGTATATTCAGTAATTGAATAACAATTTAATATAGTATAATATAATATAAAACTGATACCTTTGTTCACATTACTCTATGCAGCAACCTATTATTTGTGCTTTTATGAATATAATATACAACAATTTTTGTTTTGTTTTATCAGCAAGTTTATCCAATTAATATGTAGAAACAGAACACCAACAGTTGAGCTGTATTCATATACATATATATTAAATAGTGTACTCCGTAGGGGGTGTGACTGGCTGTTCATTTTCGTAAACAATGGCTGTGTACCTGCTTTTTGCTTCTTTTTTTTATATACGTATACGTGTATACATTTGCATTTTATTGATTTTCACTACTGTCTCTACTTTTGTACTCCCCTCTTCTTTTTTTTATCACATTTTGACGTTCGATATATATTTTCTGATTGATCCCTTTTTATATTCTTGTTGTGTAGCATAATGCCTTCTGCTGTCACACATACATACACACACACGCGCGCATAATTGAAATTGCACTAAACGCATATACACATACATATCTGTGTAAGACAATCACACCTTTCTTTTTTTACTGATTATTATTAATTTGAAGTAAAATATTGTGATAAAAAATTTCATATGATCATCTTTTTTGTTTGTTATTTTTTGTCCCCTTGGGTTGGGCTTCAACAGCACTTTTACACTGTGTTCTGTTTTCCACTATTCCCTTAAGCTAGCTTCCCAACTGCCTAGAGTCTCTCATCTTCTTCATATCACCCTCGGAAACACGCACCAGTCGTCATTTCCCATTCGCGTTGCATTCAATAAGTTGGACAGGCTGGCACCCGATGTCATTCGACGGTCTCCTCAGTGGCGTGTGCCCAATCCATCTCCAGGTGGTTCACCTCCACAGTCCTTTTTGGTTTGTCATTCGATGTTAAGTATGGAGACAGCGAAGGCAGCAGCTGCTGACCAAGGCTTTTAGTAGTCTGTTGGGGATGGTTTCCATGACGAGCACGCCAAGTTCCTCACCCATATGGTGGAAGAAGTGACTGACTTAACATTTGTGTTGAGAATCCGAGTCTTTTTGTTTATTCTGCTGAGTGCAGAATATTTTCAAACCGATTTCTGATTGATGAAGGTGTGCCGCGTTTCCTTTCCGATCCTATCTGGCTGGCTTTGACATCTGCATGCTATCCGACCTGCTGTGGTTGAAATGATGCTTCTTAACTAGAAAAGTGAAGGCAAGAAGTGACCTTTTTTATTAATAATATTTTATAATTCTAAAGTCCAATCTCCTGCGAACTCTTACTGTATGTAGTTGCCGACGCCAAACCTGTATGACATGCGTTATCCAACCTAATAGTGGGTCGCGGCAAGACTGAATAATTTCCTCTGTATGCCTACAACTCTACACCTAAGGTACCAATACTACTTTAAATATTAGTAGCGCATTATAATTTAATGGACTGTCTTCCCTCAAACAGAGTCTGGTAAACTGATCTTCTGTTGCTTTCACCTTACAACATTAAAGGACTGTCTTCAAAACAGTCTAGTTTACAATAAAGTCATGCAAAGTATGAGATGTACGTGGGTCTTGGTTTCAAAATGTAGCTGGAATTTTGTATAGATAAGTACAGTACATTAAATTCAAATGATATATATATATATATATATATATATATATATATATATATTGAATTAACAATGCGAGTAAGAATCTTCGCTTTTCAATTCCTCATTGCTTTGTTCACGTAAGACTTTCATTGTTCGAAAGGTGTGTTTCATATGCCACACTGTGAGTCACACATATTTCCCAGGCTGAGATAGGTGATATTGCCAATATTCAGAAATTCGACTCAGTATTTAAGCCAACGAGTCACGTTTCCATTTTTTTTGCTTGTAACTTTGATAATTTTGTACAAAGGCACGTTGGTTTGACACTGTTTAGGCCCTTTATATAAATTCCTTGTGACTTTTTCCCATTTCAGTGCTTAAATAACTAGCTGCATAACATTATCATGGGTAGATAGTAGTTGACCCTTTTTGCTAAGTTACGAAGACATTTGACGATGCCTAACTGTGATTACTCTAAGATCACAAAATATAGAAATATCAAACAGGTAACGAAAGCGGGCGAGGATATACGGGCAAGAGTAAACAATAGACACCAAAGTTAAATGACCTTGACTTGACCAGTCAGATAACTCAGCATTACAATTGGTTCCTAGTCATAATCTTCTTTGAAAGCGTCTCCTAGATTTGGTCTTTGACTTCTCTTTAGATGATGTGTTGATAGGGAGGAATAAAACACATGTGTGGAGGGGATAATAACTCTGGAAAAATGATTGCCGGGCTATTGATGGTTATAAATTCGGATGCAACCATTTTATATGAGGAAGTCTGTATAAGTGAGTAATTCGTATATAATTGGTGATTTTTTAGACACTTCTCGAAATCAAAGCTCTCCCTTAGTAATATGTTGCGTATATGCAACCAGTATCTGCTACAGCTGGAGGAATAGAGAATACATTGGTTTGATATGTCTATAACTTCTATGAGAATCTGGGACCAGTTTTCGCAGCATATTGGAGGTATATATCCTACATGATTCATTTTATTATATATATCGTAGATACACTTCTTTGTAAATTAAGTACCACTTTTCACCTAGAAGAACCTGATTGGCTGTTTCAAGGTCGGCTGAAGTTGGTGCCTGTCCTTTACTGTTGCCGGATATACGTTATAACGTATTACGTTTACCGCGCCTCCGGTTTCCTCGTCTTTCATTGGCTAGAACAGTGGCGCTCAGTTGGATTTTCGGTTTATCCTTGGTAGCTGCTATCGTGTTCTGTTGGTTGTGTTATGCGTCGTTTGCAAGCAACTTTGACGAATATAGATGTAACATTTGACTATTCTAACACTGTTTTTCATATAGAGACAGTGCTCTTTGCGTTATAAACTCCCTTGAAACTGGTCAGGCATTATGGTGGCTATCAGTGACTATCATCCCGTGGGTCCCAGCGTATTTCTTGAGTTGTGGTTATACGTACAGTATTTCCTACTTCGATATTTCTCACTCACATAGTCTGGTATCCTGTGTTTCTTGCGACTTAGCTGTCACAAGCTGTTGCAATAATGTGCTTCGTCAACGAGCCCTTTTTCTAGAATTTCATCGCAGGCAATCAGTGCGAGCGGAGGCAGCACATATGTGGGAAGCTACGAACGTATTAGAAGACTATCAAAAGGCGTAGACCTTATGTATTGCTAACAGTGACGAACTTTTCGACACATCAGCATGTGCATACGGAGAGAAAATCCACGAGTGGGACATTGTATCCTAGTGAGACAGCTTTTTGGGACTTTCATCTACCCTGTATGTTTCGCTCTAGTATTGTTGTCCCTCAGACCACCAACAAAGTATTATCAAATGTATTCTTGTAGTATGATTCGATGGCACAATTATTGGCAGTTAATATTATGTATGCATAATGTTCATGATATTTTCTCCACCATTAACGTGCTCCACATTTCAAAAGGAGTGTAAATTAGGAAGACTGAACTTAAGTCATACTTAACTCAAATATCGTCATGCATGTTAATTATGTAAATGCTTAATTTATGTAAGTGAATTTAGTCTGTATCACTTTTAGGAATGATGGGTCGCAATGAGGTCTGCCAGTTAATTAAATTCAGTGAAAGTAGAAGTGGCCACATTCGGACAAAGACATCCGAAAAACAGTGATGAGATTTTTACGACTTATAACCAGATACATTAACATAATCAGTTTTAGGAATTGATTCTACATACAACAAGAAGTGGAGGTAAGTTCATGTATAACAATGCAGATATTCTTTTTTGCAGTTTGTGATACCGGATAGCTTTGGATGTGGGCATAGAGTTCTATTTACTTGAATTTCGGAAGAATTCAAACGTGACGCAATTCGGACACTGGGCAGTTTCCATCGAATAATGGGAGATACTTTTCAAACGAAGACTTTCATCTTGGACTGTGCTCAGTTAATACATGTAAATAAACTTGCTTGCGCTGCAGTGAAATAAAATTTTCTATCTAATATTCTTGTGTTCTATTTGTTCTGCGTGCGGTGGGAGTACGGCATGCTAGACAGGTACTCCCTAGGATATGAACTCGTTACTATACATAAGTGTAATTCTGTAGGAACACTATCGATCGATATAAGTGGTGAATTATTAAGTACTTTAGTCAAGCCTAAACATCTGCCTAAAGTTACGCGATTACGTCTCCTAGTCGTAGGTAAGTCTGCAGGGACCAAGGACAAAAATACCTAACTTCAGTATTTGAAAAATAAGAAAAGAAATTAGGCACTGCAATTGAGTTCGATTTCGTATAAGGTTAAGTGTATTCAAAAGTAGTGCATTACCATTATTTCACTTAAAGCGTGATGTCAATCCATATGATTATGGGTGTTAACTTATAGTGTAAGGTGAAGTGTACACGACACGAATAATTGAATAGGTTGAGCTGTAGCGATCGTAGTAAGATTTCGCTTACGTTGAATTATGCCAACAATTACTTTCTCAGGTCAGGCCTCCATCTCGTCCTGATGACAAATTTAGTTTCACTCAGATAGAATAAGAAAAGTATGGTAAGGGGGATGTTAAATATATTTAATGAAAAATAATAACAAGCAAATGTCTTTACGGAGTTGTTTGCCGTAATTATTTCGGCGATATCGAATTGCTGTGACCAGGTTGACTGAAGTTACCGGATACCTGCAAATAAGTGAACAAAGTGTATGTTTTTAAATCGCTGAAGTTAGAAAGAAGTGATATTAGAGTTAAACGCTTTATATTTGCCTACCTTTGCTGAAAAAGGTTCATTCTTCGTTCATGACAGTATTCTTCTGTGGTTTTCACTATCACACACATTCTAAAGTATAGCAGCAAGCAAGTGATAGTAATTTAATATATCGTATAAACGGGTGTTTACAAGGAATGCATGTCATTTCTACAGGCACAATAGGTTATGTTATGAATTGCAACCGTGAATTATCATAAATTAATACTTTTTCAAAAGTTTAAATCGTTCAATTATTGTACGAGTAATTAGAACAGATTATGTGATAAGTGTTCACTTGTAAACCCTTCACAATGAACACTGTATGGGAAACTTCATTATATCTTCATTTTCACCAACTTTCCCTTCACGCACAGAAGCATGCAATCACTACATACATTGAAGCATTGTAACCTGAACAACACAAAATCCCTACAGATAACTTGTTTAAATAATAAATGCTTTAAATATATGAGCCATAAGTGCATCTTCCGTATCGTTCATAGCCACAAGTAATTCATTACGGATCTCAGAATATCTTAGTGATCTGAAAACGAATAAATATTAAGACTGGTATAACTTATGCAACAGGTGTGGTAGTTGTAGGACACAGCTGCTAGCTACTAATCGACAGAAAGCTGATACTATCAGCTGATACATTTTAGAAGGACAATCTATACTATTCTTCGTGACCCGATGCACACTGATATCAACATAATCTGATGCCATTTTATGAACTGAGCAATTACGGTCTTCTGAAATTCCATATGCAAATGTAAATTAAACTAGTATCACATCTTCGCCTAGGCAGTTTTAGCTAGGAACT